GTTTTTTTTAAAAGTCAAACGTATTTTAACTTGAACGCCACATTTTTAGAACAATGTGTCATGCATGAGATGCTGACAAAAATAGACGCAAATGCATTGTTCAAAACGTGTGTTTACATAGAAAAACTATGGAAAAGTAGCATCAGTAAATTAACATCAAATTAGCAATTAGCATGACTAAACAGAATTGCAAAAATTTCATAGGAAAAAGTTGTATACAGACAAAAAATGTCACCTTTAAATGTGAAGTTATTCACTAATCATTTTCTCTTCTCCCAAATATCATCCATGTTTGCGTTCAATTAAAAAATGATGCCATCGAAAAGTCATGTCAGATTTGACAGCAAGCCAAACATCTGTTTGCATATTTTTATTTTGTTAGACATTGGAATTCAAGCTGAAAAACTACAATACCCATACTTATATATATATAATTTGATTGTCATTCGCCATGCTTTATGGAATAGTAGTTATTTCCCTCAATAAAGCCGTTAAGTGCAAAGACCTTTGCCTTCTTGTCTGATTTTTTGAAAACCAACGAAACCAACGCAGCTGAAAAGTGGTCAGGCACTAATGCATTCTATTCTGACTGCAAGTTTTAAATATACTGTATGGCTTTCAATGGAAAGACAGTTATCTGATTTAGGCAGTACTTTTCTCTCATCTTGCCAGTAGTGGATCAAGAACTATTTGGCACACCCATTTGATTATTTCCAGTAAGTGAAGTATCTACATATAGTGTTAACAGTGGTATTAAAACATAAAACAATTTCCAAACAAGCTATTCTGGTCACATTCTAAATAAAAGAAGACCTACCCTGAGGTCAGTAAAGTTCAAGAATGCATTTCATTATGCTTTTACAAATGTCACAAGACACAAGTGAACATGACCGCCTGCTAAATAGCCTACAGGCTGAAACAACCTCAGGGAACATGGTTATGTAACGTGTCAAATGAAAACTGCACATTTTTCTATGGGTCAATGGGAGAAATGGCCTTTGCCTTTTACTGATGCAAGCTAGTATTAGAGTCACAATTAACTGAATCATCTGAGTTTATATTCAGGAACGCTGTGAGACTGATTGACCTGTAGTCGTTCAAACTAAAGAGGTTCTTGTCTCGTCAACCTTTGGCTCAGACATGCCATCATCACAGGTTCGTTATGTAATTCTTTAGCCATTAGCAGTGGATGTGTTTTTGCAGACATTTCTCATTTGCATCTGCTGATTTCCCATTCAAAAGCACTGGCTCGATAACCTTCAGCAGTGAGAGCTGCATGAAAGACCAGGGAACGTGAAATCCTATGCTAAACATTGTCTTTCAGCTCTCTCAATATTAAATAATATAACCTTCACTGGTGAATAAAGTAACACAGCTTGCTTTGCTGCAAAATTATCCACTAATGCCAACTTAGCACAAAAGCTGCATCTGAAGTGGCATATTTACCATAATAAAGTGCATTTACACTATTTAATGTGTAACAGAAGCAGTATAAATATATTTACATAAAAATGGCAAGTGCAGAAATAATGTTAAAATAATTTTAAATATAATTTAAAAAATAAATTACAATGAAAATATTTTAGATAATTTGAAATATGAAATTATGAACATGAAAAAAATTAAAATGTAAAATTATTAAAATAATTAAAAAAACGTATTTATCTAAAAAAAAAATTTTTTTTAAAATACTCCGTCATGACAATAACAAATTTTAAAGCTGCACTGATGCTGCATTTCTTTTACACAGAACCAATGCAGCATCAGAGCTGCCACTTATACTAGGGGAGCTGAAGTAGGCCAAAGCTGCATGTTTTAGTATGATTTTTATTCTGCTATGCATAATTATGCAGAATCTTGTATAGGCACAGAGCCTGACCATACCAGTCTTAACTAGGCTCTGTAAAGGGGCCTTAAATAACACATACGAATCACTGTGTTCTATTTAATACTTTCTGTCCCAAATGTAGTTCTATTAGTGAAAAGGTCACCATCAAATCCCCCAGTATAGGTATAATAATGATTATGGTGGCATAATCCAGCCAGAGAGATGGTATATTACACATCAAGCTGAAAAGAGTATGTCACATCCCATCCCAGCTCTTCTGCACTGATCTAAGAGCAGCTTCGTTAACGTAAACTGTGGTCTTTTTTCTTATGCTGATATAAGCTGAGGTGGTAAATCTGGTATGGGTCAGCCACTGTATATTGGCTGTCTGCAGTCTGAATACTAGGGAGGAATGTAGCATGCCACTGTGGGAGCAATAAAAAAAATGTGCATGGGAGTGAGACCGCTGGTCACGACTGCTGTTCATCATTCAGCTGCAGCTTTGAAAGGCTCCAGAAAGATTCCAAATGAAATGAAATGATGTTGCTTATTGATCTGATTCTGACAGAGGACTGGGATGCAGATGAAACTTGTCTGTAAAAAGAACATGAAGCACTTTTTGCATTAATCCACAACACAACCTCATCAGGTTGCATGTGAGTGACATGCAGTAATCAACTTTTTTATTTTAAATGACATTTTCTGTAAAAATAATCCTTAGTCAGACAGAGATATTACAGATACATCTGCAAAAAATACAATGAAATATTACCAAAAAATCCTTGACCTCTTGATGCATACAGAAAATATGGACAGTATACATACAATATACTGCAAAAACAGTAGACAGTTATTTTAATATATAATTCTGAACATACCTCATATTTTTGTTATGTGTAAATAAGCAAAACTTGCACGCAACATACTGTATAGTACACAGCATACTGTACAGTAAGAGCACAAATGTGCCAGAATCAGACAAACTTCTGATACAGAATTATGCAGTTCAGTACTGCTGCAGAAGGTTTTTGGGAACAGCCACCCGGAAAAGGATCTGCGCAAGAGACACTGAGCTTCGATTAAAGAAACCGCGATCACAAATACTGGAGGAATATTTCTTCTTCCTCTCATTGTTCTTTGCTGTCATGCGGTTTCGTGGCTCCAGGTACAAAGCTTGTCCAAACAACTGTCCAGCCAGGGTTATTTTCAACATGTGTAAAACTTATGAGACTTTTCTCATAACCTCATTTGATTCATTAAATTGCAAACAATAGCTATGAACATGTAATATGTTTTTTTTTACAGCTTTTTTCAACACATATGTTTGCTACAGTAATAAGACCAGCCTATATTAAATCTGGATAGTTTGAAATACCATAAATATGCAGGTTTTCATATATATATAAAAAAAAAAAAAAAAATTTAACTACCAAGGAAAATTTTGACAATATGACAGAAATTTAGTTATTGTGTTCTATTCCACTGACATCATAAAAGTTCAATCAATAAAGGGGAGACCGGGGCTAATTGTCACACTTTTTAATGAGCATTTCTCAGTTTGTGGTGTATATGCACATACTGACTAGGGAAAAAAAGCTATTTAACATGTTCACTGTTATTGCTCAGAGACGCATTATACAATTCACTGAACTCAGATTAACCTTTTGTGCCAATATAGTTACTGAGATATGACCCTTCTGCCAATTTACCATGTGACAACTAGACTCCGTCTCCCCTACTTTAATGTGTTTGTATAGGATTTTTCAATCGGAAACGTTTAAAGGAGAGTAAAACATGCAAATGTTTTATGTATAGGCTGCACACTAGATTTTCAGATGCAGTCAACACATCTACAACACCTCGTAATATTTCTGAGAAAACACTTCCCTGCAATATTACGTAATTTTGCCACTCTTAGAGAGCAGCCTATACTCTTAAAATGTAAAAACAGTCTATGTTATGATTTTGCAATGAACAAATATAACGATAAAATTTGAGTTATATTATTATTTTTTTTTTATTGGCTACTACGTTATTTAAAGTTTTTTTCCCTACATGCGTACTCATAGAAGTATGCATAAAATATTCATATAAATCAAATATGACCTCTTGCCAATATGAGAGCGGAAGAACACACCGCTGAACTGGTACAGGTGTATGTCCATCTGACAGCTTCAGACAGGTTAGCCTACATCGCAATAAACATCATTTAAAAAATATCTTACCTGTATGTCTTTTTGCGCGGGGCTCTGTCTTGCCTTTAGAGAGAGAGAGAGATTGATTTGAGTGCACACTGATATTCCGAGACTTGTAGTGTTTCGCTCACTAGAGGTAAGTGTACTCAGTGTCCCTTTACTTTGTGGAATCGTTAATGAAGGCGACTGAAGTCATACGGAGTCTCCGCCTCCTCCTGCGCTTCAGAGAAATATTTTTCATTCCAATAATGCCAACACGCTTGTTTTGATGCCACCTAATGGTTTGAGGTCTTAATTTTTTTTTTTTTTACATTTTTCTGAATTAATTAAAAAAATTAAAAAAAAATGTAACTTTTAAAAAGAACATAAAAATACAGATTTTGTTTCAATACACTTTTCAAAATAAAAAAACAATTTCACCTTTGAAAGGACATAAAAACAACAACAACAACATAGGAACGAAAATCGGAATAAAACAGACTTTTATTATGTTGGGACTTGTATTTTGAAATGTCACGAGGGCTGTCAAAGCGTCTCCACACTCCAGTTCAGCTGGTGGCGGTAATGCACCAAAAGTTGGCTAATAAACGCTACAAGAAGAAGAAAACGAGACCTGTCAAAGCGGCAGTAGCCGGAGACTTGCATCCTTTTAGAAGCTATGTCAACTTCAAGGTTAACTAACAAGTTTTATTGTCATCTGCTTAGCTTGAGCTCCACATGGAAATGTCACCAACAAGCCTCCAGACTGTCAACGATGAGAAGTGAATTTGAAGTGAGTGAGTTGTAAACAAACGTTTGGGGCTGGTTAGCATGACTGAATTGTCAATCTGCGCCGTGATGAGATGTATGCATGTCTCTTATTATAGACTCTTTATTTGTCGTAAATCTCTCTCACACTTTTTATTTTATTCTAGAGAGACAAATCTATTATATAAGATCTGGATATGACTATATAAGATCTGGACAGACGTGACACAGACAACTTTACAGGCTCGAGATATTTTATTTAGGTGCAAATTAAACATACCCTAGGCTGTAGTTTAGCACTTACATTATACTTACTTCATTCTGGTCTTTTATTATCTGAATTGTAGTCCTTTTTTATTTAACTTAACTGTTGTAGGTAAACAGTGTAACTGTTTGTGTATTAGTTGTCAGAGTGTCTTATCTTTAGGTCTTGATATTTGCTTGATGTGAAAGTCTGTTTTATTTGTGACCCATTTGTTTTAGTCGATATGTGGTGACCGATTTAGGAGGATTTCTTCAGCACAGACAGTTACGAGGACCAGTGTATGTGGAGGACATTCACAGGTAACGAACACAGACCTTTTGTGCCTTTTTACGTTTCTAAATCAAGTCTCAAAATGTGCAAAAGTTTACATGAACCTCTTTTCCCAATATTATCTGATATTTAAATATTTTAAAGGGGTTTGATTGGATTCTGAAGAAAAGGGAACTCCATTTAAGCACACCTCTTGGAGAAAAAAAGGCATTTCAGTTCAGGTAAATAGTGTTTACTGAATTCTCAGGGTTAAGTTTAGTCTTGTACTAATCACTGACCGAGCGCAAACACAATATTTGCAATATTCCTTTTAAATGTATTATGCAATATGATATACCAGTTGTGATTTACCATTATCATTACAGAGCATAATATTTACAATATTGCTTGTACTTTTATTATGCAATAAGATATACCAGTTATGATTTATCATTGCGTTGGTCTTAGATCAGTGGTCAGGGTTTGTTCATTGTAAGATTGTTGTTCAAATAATTGTAATTTTCTACTGTAGGTTGTATTTTGTTAGGGTGTTAAAAAAAGTTATTTGTTTATATACCAAAAGTCCCAGCAATGTCAGCCTCATAATTTTTTTATTGCTCGCATTCTTTGAATAAGAATCTAAATGGCTTAAAATAATCAGCCAATGCAAAGTTCTTAGCACAGAAAACTAAGTGGGAGAACTTCCACAATTGGTGGCTGACTAAATACTTTTTTGCCCCACTGTACAAACCAAACAAATATTTTTAATGCAGACAACTATTAACAAACCACTTATTTTTATTATTTATACAGCATCATTTTCACTTGTATTTCTGCAATGATTGAAAACTATTATTTTCTTAACATACACTGATTGTTTTGTGTAGAGCACTAACAGATGCAGAATATGAGAGACTAGCAGAAGAGACACTGGACGCGTTGGCAGAGTATTTTGAAGACCTCACAGATGAGAGCTTTACTGGAATGGAGTATGACGTTGTCTTCTCTGTAAGTACACATGCCCATATTCTCACATCCTTACAGGTTATGTCCCTGTGGTGCTTTTACATCTCAACCTTATGAAAAGTTTGCTGTGCCTAGATGTCCAGTAGGGGTCAATGTTGGTCTACATTAGGCTGTGTGCAACCCATTTCTTTGGATGAACCAGGATCTTCTATAATTACAAATGTGGAGTAGAGCCATTTGGAGGTGTAAATTGATTTCAAATGTATGATATTATAGTTATGTTTCGATCAATTGATATAGAACAAAAAAAGCTATTTGTGAAGCAGCCTTTGTTGCAGTACCATGCAGAGAAAATGCACGTCTCCTGCAGGATTTATGAAGGCTGTAAACGGCTTTTAGCATGTTATTGTAAGACTGAACTAATGCCACTTTCAGTCTTTTCACACATACACACACACACACACACACACACAGATTTTTGTTTATTTATTTAACAAATATTTTACTCAAACCCAGTGAATGATTAAATCCATGCACTCATTTCTGTTAAATTTAAGCGTCTGGTGGGTGGCCAGCAGGCCCTGGTGACAGATTGATTGGTCATTCACACTCCTCACTCTCCTCTGGCTGGATAAATGTCAGGTGGTGATTTTCCTGTCAGCTACTTACTCTTAGCGGCCAGTTTTTACACCTCTCTATAGCCTCACGTGCAGCCAGCAAACACAGACAGCTGCAGCCATCTCGTTAAATGGGATTCAGAAAATTCTCTTTTTGCACACCGACTCTGTTGCTACAGTTAGGATGATATAATGATACTCTTTAGATCAAACATTCGGACCGCTGCAAGCGAAGGCGTGGTTGACAGATGGAGCAATGTTCCCAGTAAAAAAAATTACAGGAGGAAAAGGCTTTTTTTTTTCTTTTTTTTTGCCGTAAATGTAATTTATTCCGAAGCAATAGTCTCATCAGTGCTCTTTCAGGTCTTACTTTAATCTGCATATTTGTGATATTTGCCTTAAATTGATTTCTAGGATACTTTTTAATTTTATGAAGGGCAATATTTTCATAACCTTATTAAATGTATGTCATCATTTGTCAAATTCTTAAGTTTCATCAGTACATTCAGTTAGAATAATAAGACACTGTATGGTTGTTACCATTCAAATGAAATCAGTATCAACAAACTCCATCTTTCCACTGCAGAGGAAACAGAAGCTGCATCAAAAGTGCCATTTAGATATACTTACTCAGACGGTTTAATGAAGATAAGAGGTTCTACAAGTGCATTTACACAGTAAAAATTGAAAATGCATAAATAATGTTTTAAGATTAATGTTTTACTTTTTTAACATACAAATATGAAATGTTGGAAAAATGCAATGATACTTTTAAATATGAAACTTAATGAATGACTCATTGATTCAACCGATTCGTTCAAATGGCAGATTCATTCAATAAATGAAGCAAATGACTGTCTTTATGAATGGCTCACTGAATCATTGACTCACCCAATTCGTTCAAAAATGCTTAATCATTCAGTAACGAAATGCTGTTGTGTGTTGCTCGGAGATGTTCTGCTGTGGCTTTGCTATTTTTGTTAGTAAAATGGAGCAAAAACTGTCAATAATGTGTCTAAAATGTAAGTCAGTTAATATTAACTAGTTTGTTGAACTACTGTTGTATAAAATCAATGTCACATTTGCAGTCGCGCTAATAGTCTGGAAAAAATCACTCGTGATGTTGCTTACCTGTATTATATACTATATAGAATATTTCTTTTTTTTTCTACCACAGTATGTTTGTTTCTTTGTGTGTGCTGTTGCGCTTCTTAGTTTTGATTTCTCCACGAGTCAGTCAGGCTGCACAAGCCTCAACTGAGGTGACCTTGATACTGTCAATGCATTATCCGTTATCAGTCACTGTTTACACTAGAAAAAAATTAAATCAGAATCAATCTCGTCAAAGTTTCGGTGCTGCCCTAGTTATTGTTTGTTATTGTCGTTTTAATCATGTTACTTGTCTGGTTGGGCAAGTAAAAGTCTCTTTCACTTGCCCTTTCACATATTCCACTTGTCCTTGAGAAGCATTAATGTTTAGCCCTATATATATATACAGTGTATATATATATATATATTCATACATCTATGGTGGGCTCCACATAAGGGGAGAACTACCAAGCACAGAACCAGGTGACAGACCATTTGTCTGTCTAGGGAAAAGTCCTTATTATGAATAGGGCAGTGGATTAATACGCATATGGGACCATATAGGGAGCATAGGGAGTCACCATCCCATTAATAGAGTTTACTAGAGGGATACTTACAAGTAATGAGTTCTTAGAGTGAGTTTCTCCTCCAAAGTCAGCTACACAAGAGTGCTTGAATGATGGAAAGGCAGTCCGGGGTTCATAAAAGGAAATGACCTGGACTCAAAGAGTGCATATTGTCACCTCAGAGAGGGGAAGGACGTTATATGCATCCCCCCCCCCCCCCCGCCCCCAGGGGCCTGTGTCGTGACGTCCCCGGCGGGCATAGTCAGTTGCTGAACACAGTTCCTGCATGCTCCGAGTTGGGATCATCCTCGTGCAGATCCTGGCCTAAACACCTTGCAGGACAGCTATGGCATGCAGAGTGGCACAGTTTGTCCAGAAGCTGTATAAGCTCTTGCCCCAAGGAACGAGGTAACTTGGGTGCTCTGGATGGGAGTCTCGGACGGCCCTACCAGGTGCACCGCAATCGCTCTCTCCGTCTGGGGACCCCCATATATCCTTTTGCTGGACCGCCATCAAGGGTGGTGAGAACAGAAGGACCGATGTATCGTGTTATGGCAGAAAGGTGCCTTCCACATTTTCAGCACTTCCGGGAGGAAAGGAACTGGGGTGGAGTGTGACAGAGTTTCACACTCGGTCTCCAACAACCAACCAACCGAGAGAGCCCAGGTCAGGGTGGAGGAGTCCACTCAAGCCTGACACTATCTGCTGCCCTGGTAAGCACTGTTGGCATCTCAGCATCAGGCTCAGACTGACACACAGCACCCGGAAGGGCCAGTTAAGTAGAGTCATCTGCTTTTGATCAATCAAATCTGGCAAAACTGCTCCCGCAACATCTCCTTGCTCTCCATCAGTGCACATCATCGAGGCCTCATACCTAGAAGTAGAAGGGCCCAGACGGGAAGCAGCTGAGGTGATTTGCGGTCTTTCTTTAAAAAAAGAATGCGAGCACAACGTGTCGATAGCCATGTCCTCGCAAGAAGGACATAAACCATCCACAAATGCTGCTTCAGCATGGGCAAACCCCAAACACTGAACACCGCAATCGTGCCTGTCAGAGGGTGAGATGTACAAACCGCAAAAAGAAGGGCACAGAAAAGCATGTTGTAAACGCACACAAATCCACCTGTGAAGCTCTTTTAGAAAAGAAAATTTCTCTTTTAGGAGGAAATTTGCTCTCAAAGATCGCCGTTGAAGCACCCAGGGGTACTCTCACTACACTTATCTGTGTATGAGCAAGGGAGAAACCACTGCTTGTGCCATAGATCCAACGATGAGGAGATTGAGAGGTGAATGAAGTGCTGCATCGGCTCAGAAGAACAGAACGAGTGAGCAAATGCCACGCTGGCCTATTTATACCCGGATATCCGGGTGAGTGGCCAGCCATGCAAATTTTGCTCGCAAATTTCATTGGACATTTCTCAGTAGCCACTTTCACACAGTAAAACCAGTATATTACCATAAAATTACCGAAACGACTTTACCGATAAATACAAAAATGTGCTGGTCACACAGTCAATGACGTTCCATCTTTTTACCGGTAAAGCACCATTCACACATCGGTTTCAAAATACCGGTAAATTCTGTGACCTCATTAACCAGAAATGACCTCTAAACGGCTGCACCTCCTGGTGTTGTGTTTGTAAACATGGAGGGGGGTATACACGGTCAGTCATTTTGTTGATTCATTTCATTTTTGTGTCAAACATTCACATTCATGCAGCTGGTTTTTGCCCAGAGACATAGTATTAGACAACTTCAAAGTGAATGACACAGTACAGAGGCATCAGAATGTTATGATTGGCCCAGAGTAGACATCTTAAGTCAGCGCGTTCTAACTTGTACGTGCTCCTACATAACATTACCAGTAAATTACCTGGTAATCTGCTCTGTGTGAATGCAGAATGAAGATTACCGGTAATTTACTGGTAAAGTTACAACTTCTCATACTGGTAAATTCGTTCTGGCAATTTACTGGTATGAGAAGTTGTAACATTACCAGTAAATTGTTTATGAAAAGGTCCTGTTCACACATGATCTCTTAACGGTAAGTAACCGGTAATTTACCAGTAAAGTCTGTATGTGTGAAAGGGGCTAATGATGTCAGAGGTGTCTGGGGTCCCAAGTGTGACCCCTAGTGTTGGAACTTCAACACTGTCGAAGCGACAGACTGAAAGGGAACTAGTGATGTCCTGCAGCCGCACATGTGCTGAAGTCATTAAAAGCAAGGGCCTCTACACTTCCTACTATTCTACATATCCTACTATTCCTATTTCTGGCAGCTGTAACCCTCCAAAATTTAAGTTGTAATCTTCTTTCATGCTACAGTGGTTACTGTTCTCTAATTTTGATCACTGTCACTTTTGTTGAAATGCTTTGACTATATTGTCAAACATGTTAGTATAACAGTGGTATACCCACAGCTAATATTCCTTCAACTTTTGAGCAAAGAAGATTAGCAATATTTGAGAAAAAAATAATGTATTTGTAGATTGTTCTCTAATTTTGATCTCCACTATATATGTGTGTGTGTGTGTGTGTGTGTGTATTATAAATATAATTTTAAAATATTTACAGAAAATTGGGGGGAAAGTAATTGGACCCGTTCATTTATTTAAAAAATATTTTATTCCTACTATTCTACATATCCTACTATTCCTATTTCTGGCAGCTGTAACCCTCCAAAATTTAAGTTGTAATCTTCTTTCATGCTACAGTGGTTACTGTTCTCTAATTTTGATCACTGTCACTTTTGTTGAAATGCTTTGACTATATTGTCAAACATGTTAGTATAACTGGTATACCCACAGCTAATATTCCTTCAAATTTTGAGCAAAGAAGATTAGCAATATTTGAGAAAAAAATAATGTATTTGTAGATTGTTCTCTAATTTTGATCTCCACTATATATGTGTGTGTGTGTGTGTGTGTGTGTATTATAAATATAATTTTAAAATATTTACAGAAAATTGGGGGGAAAGTAATTGGACCCGTTCATTTATTTAAAAAATATTTTAATTTTAACAGTTATAATTATGAATTATAAATATAATATATTAAGTTATAAATATATAAGTATAATTTATAACAAATTCTCTTTGATCCATTCAAGGTTGTTCTTCCTGTCAGTGGCGCCATTTTAGTGTTAAAGCCACAGACTGAAGCCATCATATGATTACATGTATGTTACGTTTCTTAACAGAATGGAGTGCTGACAGTGAAAGTGGGCTCTGATCACGGTACATATGTTATCAACAAACAGACACCCAACCGACAGATTTGGCTCTCCTCTCCGACAAGGTTAGACACTCATTTGTGAATGTTCATATGCTATGCTTAACTGTTTAATCAATTTAATGTAAAAGAGTTGGAACTGAATCAGCAAATTTTTTGCTAACATATTTTATTTACTTAAAGTGACTATTATTATTTGGCTTTAGAAATGGTATTTCTTGCATTATATATTTACAGTGTAACATAATTAGAGCAAGTATATTCAGTTTTCAGCTGTGTAAGACATTTCTGAATGTTTCCTTTCTCAGTGGGCCAAAACGCTACGATTGGACGGGGGAGCGATGGGTGTACACTCACGATGGCATGACATTGCATAATCTGCTCTCCAAAGAGTTGTCCGTCATCTTCAGATCAAATATAGACCTGTCACATCTCCTCCATTCATGATTAGACCAATGTGAAGAACAGACACTGTTATAAATCCTTTCCACACCAGTCCTCTTGTGACTCTCGTGATCTTTTTGGTTAAACAATAAGGGTAAGAATTTAAAACTCTAGCTAATGTTCAAAAAGACCTTCTGGACTTGAATATTTTAATGGTCTTTGCCTCTTTTAGCATGACATTTTTTTCAAAAAACACCAAATCCCAAACAAGTATAGACCCCGGATAAACCGAAGAGATGATTTATTTGTCTAAATCAAACCTGTATGCAATTATAAGCTTTAAATGCACTCAGAACAGCAGAAATGGCTCTCATAATCAAATCCCTGTAAACCTGTACCTGGTTAGATTAAACCCAGATTAAAGAGATCACATTTAATGGCTCTTAAACCAGTTGAATAAGACAAATGGATACAGATTGTTTTTTTGGAGGCTGTATTTATCTGCACGTCTGGCCCTGCTTGAACTAGAGGCTGCTGGCTAGATGCGGGAAAAGAAGGGGATTATGACAGACAGATGAAGAAGTTTTTGCTTTAAAAGCCCCCAGTTAGAGCCTTTATTCAAGAGTTATCTGTGAATAACAGCATCACATCTGATCATATTCCTCAGAGCTTTACCGGCACCCTCAGATAATTTCAAAAATACCAGCCCAAGTTAACATCAATCCGCCCGACAGGTAAAGCTGTGTCATTAACTCTGGTGATACAACATAGTTGATCATTACTCCCCAGACGCCTCTTAGCGTAATAGCCCATATATTGCAACATTAACTTGACACGCTGTCCATGCAAATGTTGAAATATGAGATGGATTGCACTGATATGTTTGATGTCTTCATTGGGGTTGCATGATGAAACAATGGCACATCTGCCACCGTTCTGATGTCTGATGTATTTGTCCATTGATGCATTTGTAAATATAATAGGAAATATTATTTAAAAAAAAAAAATTATTTTCATTGTATACACATTGTGGTTTATGGTTAATTTTATCAGTTAGTAGTAGTAGTAATAATCATACATTTTTATAAATTAATAAAATAATATAACATCAATTTTTAATAAAAACAACAATACATAAAATATAACAATATAATTCTTAATAAAAAATGCAAACTTAATTCATAAGTAATAAATCAAAATAATAAATCTTAATAGTTATTAATACTACTACAAATAATAATATTTAATGCTAATATAGTTCATATTTTTGTCTAGTATAGTAAATAATATGTTAATATTTATTAAAACATTATTTACATTGTTAATAGTACTATTAATTTGTATTTTTCTTATTTTGATTTATGAATTAGGTTTAATTAAAGTTTTTACTTGAGTATAACATTTCATAATTTATAATGTTATAATTACATTAAGTATGTATTCATAAATGAACCCACATGACCTGTTATGTCAGGCAACATAACAGCCCCAAAACACTTGTCTGATAATGCAATAATTATTTTTTTTGAATTGAGGATTCAATGTTCAATGTAAAGAAGAAATAGGAACTGTTCTTCGAATCAGGTGAGTCTTGTACTTTCTTGTTATTTCACTCAGTTAACAACAATGCCATAAATTAACCAAAGGTCTGATGCACTTCAGATGACTCAACTGTACTGTATAGCGCATTCTGCAAAAACGGAATATCTTTCTGAATTAATATCTAAAAATTCACACAATCCAAAAATTCTGTTTAACACGTTAAATACTATTTTTATTTCTCCTGCTAACACTTCTGGTCTGGACAGTACTCCAGAGACCTGCGCAGCATTCCTACATTCTTTTATGGGAAAGGTGGACGCCATACGGTCTACTGTTACAATGTGCAGTCATGACCCCTCTGAACCACTCACTTGTCATGCTTTTTTTGAACGGTTTGAACCAATATCCCTTTCTGAGCTTGGCGATATAGTTCACAAGATGAAGCCTACCACTTCTCCTGTTGATGTTATCACCACCCAGCTCTTTAGAGAGGTCCTGGATGCTATCAGCCCTAGTGTACTGGCTATTATAAACAGATCCTTAGACAGTGGTTGTGTTCCTATATGCCTCAAACAAGCAGTGATCACGCCTCTTCTTAAGAAGCCAAATTTAGATATAACCAATCTTAAAAATTTCCGCCCTATTTCTAAGTTGCCATTCTTCTCTAAAATTTTGGAGAACATTGTTTTAAATCAGTTATCGTCATTTGTCTCACAAAACAATATTTTAGATAAATTTTATTCTGGTTTTAGAGCCCATCATAGCACCGAGTCTGCACTGCTGAAGGTGTCGAACGATCTACTCCTTGCTTTGGACTCCGGTAAATCTGCTGTTTTAATGCTACTTGATCTTAGTTCTGCATTTGATTCAGTTGATCATGCTACCCTTCTTAATCGTCTAAGGGATGAAGTTGGCATTAGGGGCATGGCACTGGATTGGTTCTCATCATACCTCTCCGATAGATCAGTTAAGGTGATGATTGGACACTCGTCCTCTCCTTCTGCACCGCTCACCTATGGGGTACCTCAGGGGTCCCTCTTGGGGCCTATCTTGTTTTGTTTTGTATATGCTCCCCTTGGGTTCGATCATGAGGAAATACAGTGGGTACGGAAAGTATTCAGACCCCCTTAAATTTTTCACTCTTTGTTATATTGCAGCCATTTGCTAAAATCATTTGTTAATTTTTTTTCCTCATTAATGTACACACAGCACCCCATATTGACAGAAAAACACAGAATTGTTGACATTTTTGCAGATTTATTAAAAAAGAAAAACATTCATCACTGAATCGCTTGCAGTTAGTCCAGAATGCAGCTGCGAGGTTGCTGACTGGTACTAAGAGGAGAGAAAGCATTTCTCCTGTCCTAGCATCTCTTCATTGGTTACCGGTGCAGCATAGGATCCATTTTAAGATTTTATTATTTGTGCATAAAGCATTAAATGATCTAGCCCCATCATACTTGTCCGAACTTCTCAGCTATCAGCAATCCTCTCGCTCTCTCAGATCCTCTGATAAACTTTTCTTGCATATACCTCGCTCTCGCTTGAAATTTAAGGGGGATCGGGCTTTTTCTATAGCCGGTCCTCGACTATGGAACAGCATACCTCTGGACATTAGATCTGCGCCTTCCCTTCCTGTTTTTAAATCTCGCCTGAAGACTTTTCTGTATTCCTTGGCTTTTGGATGAAATGTATGTGGTAAACGTTGGTGGACAGCCATTTTTAGGTCTCTCCAGAGATGCTCAATTGGGTTTAAGTCAGGGCATACCAATGTTTATATAGGCTAATTATGCATTCTTTATATCAACTTGTTTACCATATTCTTCATTCTTTCAAGCAGACATATTTATTTCTATAAATAAATTTAGATTAATCTTTAGGGCTGACAGGGTCTTTCTGTTGTTGCTTGATTAACATCAATGACTCGGACAATAGCAACTAAATTAGGTTGCTGTCCCTTTAAAACCGAATGCACAGCTGCAGTGGATGCAATGTACTGATACACTCCCTGCTGTTTACATTCACTTAAGACGTAATCAACTGTGTTTTAGTGAATACTCGTCAAAATGGACAATTCAACATCATTTTGTGTGTAATTCTCATTCATGCGAAGCGAAAGATTTATCCATATGTCTGCTCTTCTCTTACTCCCACATATTGACATTTTTGAACGTTTTATGAGACGTGCAGCAGGTGTATGTAAGCTTATGTCCCACGGTTCATATGTACGCATCTAACCTCCGAACCACGCAGCAGATTCGTTCTGAATGAATTTCTTCCCAAATCGTCGCTCCATAACATTTTCGTCTCGTTTTTATTCGTTAACGACAATGTCAGTAAATATTCGTCATAGTTCTTGTCATTCAAAAAGATTTTTAGTTCGTTATCGTCTCATTGTCGTCAGTGAAAAAAATTTAGTTGATAAATTATGACAAAAATTATTCGTCAACTAAATTAACACTGCTTTAAACAATACAGATTGTCAAAGCAGCTTCACAGTGTCAAACAGGAAAATAGTTTGTCAATAATAGTTTGCTTTTAAACATTATAAGTTCTCCTCTGGGCAGACAAAACCAGCATGGCATGTTTTAATTCCAGGCTGCAACACAGGTCAGATTGTGCAGAGGACTTGACTGGTTTCCGTGGTCTTGTCTTGATGACCGTCTAGTTGACAGGGTCTTCACTGGGGATCTAGTTGACATGGTCCCTGCTAACATTCAGGGCTGTAGGAGTCATCTCTAGGTGCTGATCCACCATCTGGTCTGGATATGGACTGGATCTGGGTGGAGGCGGTGACCTTGGAATAAGACTGAAACAGATTCATATTAGCGTAGATGTCATTCTTCTTACGGTGTAACGAGTACATCGGGTGTTATGGGAAGTGTTCCCAGTTCCGGTTGACCTAATTAATGCAGCCTATAATCTTTTAACATATTTGAATTATAGAAATGTGATAGTGTGTTATGTGTATGCAAGGTTAAAGAGATGGGTCTTTAATCTAGGGTCTCCCCTACAGCTAGCTAGTAAGCACATACCCCTTGTTTAAAGTCATGACTGTGCTTACATACGTGTTCTGCTGAAAGTGCATGTGAAGCCGCTTGTATTACGCTGATTTCATATGAACAGTGCCCTTCCTAGTGAGATGGTGTCCAATCGACCAGTATAACACTTATAAGAGGTCAACTGTTCCACTAAATATTTCATCATCAAAATGACCCCTATGCGCTTTCCACGCCCTCATGCTCACAGCAGCAGTGTACAGTAAGCCGTGGTGGAGTAAAGCCAAAGCACTGCTTTAATTGACCAAAAACAGCAGATCAAGGTTGCGGCGAAAGATTTATTTATTTATTTTTTCCTCCAGGAGATTTTGTCCTTGACACTGCTCCCCCTCGCTGAGGAGCCAGCTGATGTGTTAGTCTTGTTCACATATCTGAAGGTTGTGCCTCACGTTTAGTGCTCCGCACCACCTGAACTCTTGTGCCTCGCTCCTGTAGATCATGTAGCCAATGTACTTGGATCAGCAGCTTTTATTGGCCTTAAATAACATCTTTTGCATTAGGCTGTTGTGAAGCATCTACTCACTTATTGTTATAATATCATGAAATATTTGTGATTTACATTCCCATTTAAACATTTGAAATCAGTAAGAATTAAAAATATTTTGATGGAAGTCTTTTAATGCTTATCAAGGCTGCATTTGTTTGATCAAATGTGCATTAAAAACTAGTGTTGTCAATGTCGGTACTAGTCGGTTCTGAAATTGTTATAATGTGTAATATTGTGAAATATTATTACAATTTTAAAATAACTGTTTTCTATTTTAATATATTTTAAAATATAATTTACTTCTGTGATGCAACATTGAATTTTCAGCACCATTACTCCAGTCATGATTTGATGCTCAGAAAAATTTAAAGGGGTCTGAATACTTTCCATACCCACTGTATATATATATATATATAAACATTTTTTGAAAAAAATGTAGTTTCTGAATTGCTGTCAATGGAGAAAGCATTTACCAGTAGAAACTAATTAGCCCATGCTAACCATTGGTCTTTGGACCTAACACTTAACCTTAAAATCTGATTGGCTGATCGTAATGTCATTAAGAGACTAGCGGAGATGTTGATTCAAGATCATGATTCACTTGAATAAATCACATTCAGCATTTTGCAGTTTTATACTTTTTGATATATTTTTATATATATTTCAGATATATTTTTGTCCAATCGGTGCTGTATCAGTTGATTTTAGCAGTGATTAGTTCACAGCCTGACACCAGCACAAGCGGATAATTGTCACCCATTTGCTATTCAGCTCTTAGCAGTTGTAATGAAAGGAGTAATCAGCACGTCCTCAGGGTGCTTACACTAATTAAAGAGGCAAAGTGTTGTGACAAGGTCACCTCTG